AACGCACCCATTTGTTTATAAGTTTGTTATTAGTGCTGTCGAGCGTTTCGTAAACGTATAAGTACATTTGTGCCACATACAGCACATTTTTGTTCCAGCTGTAACACATATATGCACTGACCGGTATTGACAGATAAATTGATTGCAAACGATTGCAAATGGATGCTAATATCGGAAAATACACTGCTGTCTGTGGCACAAATATATTTCTTTTTACCCGTTTTTACCGCACTCAGCAAAAAAATGATACTGTATGAATATTCATTATATTTTTTGCTGACTCCTTAAAGAACATAAAGATATTTACATAAACTTTTACTTTTTGACATCTTCAACACATATATTTGCACACATTTTTTCACTGTTATTTTATCAAAATATTGATCTCACTTTAATTTTAATAAATTACTCGAAATTTCTCAAACACGTTTTATAACACATTCCATGAAATGTCAAAAATACACGAACCAAATGTTGCCCGATGTTGTCAAATTCCGACTACGCGCCCTCGTAATCTGAACACTGCACCGCTATGCGCGAACTGCCGTCAGCTATGATAGTTATTACTACTTAATAATTATTATAATAAGTAAAAAACACTTCTTTCGAAGTTCCCAGTGTGATGCAATACTGTAAATCTAAAAATGTACAAAATGTTATTATTGCGTCGCCTCTTTCGCCGCTGTAGTTTTGATAGTATTTTGGTTACCGTTAATATGTTCAAAATGGCAAGAGATGAAGTTTTTGGATAGGAAATGTACCATGTACGAATTCTACCGCAAAATAAATGTCATATTCGATTTTTTCGTATAAAAAAAACCCCAAAATACCAATTTTCATAGGAATCGAATAAAAACCAATTTTTTCTGAAATATTATTCCAAAAGAATGGTTTCAAGCCGATTAATCTCAAAAGATTGAACTAATTTCTCAAAATGGTTACCACGGTTGAATTCCTCGGGTCCGAATTATGTAAAATCAGTTGTCAAAGTGAACAAACAAAGTAAAAACCTATTACATTGCAATTGATTACTAAGATATTAAAAATAGGTGGCCGCTTAAGTTCAAACTTTTCCTCATTTTCACCAAATAAAACAATGATAGTTTTTAAAAATGAACATATCGCCTTAAAATTGAGTGCGCTTTCGATCTATGATGAAAAAAACCAATCCAATCATACATTTTTTCGAGATATAGGACGATTAACTTCGATTTTCATCGATTTTTCCCCATTTTTCGACGTCTAGTCATACTGATCCAACATTTTACGCTGATTTTTTTTTCAAAATTTCTTTATTGCTTCATCAAGATGACCTAATGCCTTTCCAATAAGCCAAGAATTGCCGTGATTTCATTGAAAAATACCCCATCTACCTGTGATCAAAAAGGGCCGAAAAAAAATTTCAACTTCGGGATGCGATTTTTTTTTAAAACGAATTTTCCCAGATATGACAAATACGCCAAATCATCACATATTTGGTCCCCAACAAACGCCCAGTTTTTTGATTTTTTCTACGTACGCAATTCTTTTTAAATTGGGATTACGTAAAAAAAAGTCATGGTCATTTTTCGCCGAAAATGTCACATAACACGCCACCTGTTGAACATTTTTGAAAAAATTTTCATTTTGACTTCGGATCCGGAAAGGTGAGTCTTTTACCTTTCCAACGAAGTATACATCATTGTTGTACCTTACAGATGGCCAGAAAAATGTCCGATTGATGAAAAACTTTTTTTCAAAAACTACGGAAAAGAAAGTGTTCATACAAACATATCATCCGGCCAATTTTGAGGTTTTTGGTCATTTTTGGCCAATTGACCATATCTCGTCCACATTTCAACCGATCGTGATGATCTTTTATTTAAACATTATCTACGCAGTTCCTAGATTCCGAATATGTCAACAAAAAAAATTCGAAAAAAGCATGTCGGTTGTCAAAAAACGAGAAAAAGGAATTTTCAGCGATTTTTTCAAAATGCCACCTGGCGGCCAAATTTCGAAATTTTTAATTTTTTTGCGGATTCTTAATTTGGTGCCCGAGCACTACTAAAATATGCAAAAATCTTTTTACAAAAGTCAGCGGTCTAGATTTTTATTTCTTTAACGTATATATAGAGTGACGCACTTGCGGTTTCATATAAGACAGCGACTTTAAAGGAATGGGGTACATTTTACTGGAAAATCATGAAAAATTGCATTTACCATGAAAGCTTGTGAATCTTATTTTCTGATCAAAATAAGTAATATCAACAAGTTTCATGAAATTTCAACCAAAAATAAAGGTGCCTCCCATAAAAAATTTTTATTTTTTTTCTTAAAAAATCGAAAATTTTGTAGACTTTTCCCCTCAATAGATGGCGCCACTAGTATGGGATATTTCGTTAAAGTTTACGTTTCTTTGCGACACACTGTGTAGAAACAATTATTAATTTATTAAATAATAAGAAATTACTTTTTAAGTGAATTGCCCAAAAGACTATATACTTTACGTAAATCTTCCAATGTTTGTAATTAATCATTTATAATCAAACATCTTCAAACCAAAAACAGCTTGTGGACTTTTCATGTTAAATGACAAAATAAATTGAAAAAAAGTCTTACTATATCACCCGAAATATCTGATTTGAATTTCTCTTTAATTTTCTTTGCTGCTGGACTATTCGCATCAATGCATTCATTTGGATCTGATGTTTTCTTCTTTTTAACAAATGATTTTGGAGATCTGAAAAATAACATTATTGAGTATAAAAAATATTATTGAAATAAATTTTTTCTATAACGTTCCATAACATACGATTTCGAAGTGGTAGCGATAGAGTGAGATGATTTTTTAACTACTGGCTGCTGTTGTTGCGTTTGATAAGTGGTTGTGTTGTTTCTAACAGGATTTATGACAGTGGTATTAACCAAAGGATTCATTGTTTCAACGGGTTTGATTGTATTCTTCATGATTAACTCCTCAGTGTCACCAACAAATTTATGTCCTATACTGGGCAATTTATTTACGATACTTTGCGTCAATGAAGTTGATGGAAGATTGTTGCGTGTCGTTTGAAGGATTTTTGATGATGTGTCTGTTGTGTTAAGAGATGTACCCGACGATAGCGATGAGCCTCCAAGTGAAAGTGACGCAAATGCTTTTGTACGTTTTGTTTCAAACGAATCGCCACTATAGCGAGTTGATGGAAACGATGCGACAGAAAATGAATGGTTATCTATGGCACCATAATTTTCATCTTCCACATTTTGTTTTGATACTTGAGGCAAACCTTCTGTAATCCTTTTCAGTTTTCGAATAGGTGTATCCGCATTTGAGACTTTCAGTTCACTTTTACGTTTCAAAAACATTTCCTTTTGCCGACGCAATTTTGCTTTGTTTTCTTTATAACGACGCGAGTCTCGTCGAAGTTCGCGTTTCATTTCTTCTGATAGAGGCTACATGATGTACATAATAACTTGTGTTATAAGGAATATATTGAACTTTATTATAAACTTACACTAATTCTAATTTCTTGAACTAGAAGGCTGCGACATTTTTTCTTCCGACGTTCTGATTGACTCGTGTTAGGTTTTGCTATCAAATTAATCTGGTTTTCCTCGTCTTTGGCGCGAGTACCTGAGGATGATCAGAAGAAAAGATAATGGAACAGAATGCAAAATGGTATTATAGACGAAATATTATAGTTTAAGAGAAAATCATTGGCAACAATAGCATTGCAACAACATTGCTTTAATTTGAGATTTCGTAGTACTGTTGAGATCGTTGATCACTGTGGAAGAAAAGAAAATGACATTAATATGCTTACACCTTAATGTACTTGAATTTTGCTACCACTATTTCTAATTGAAGGAGGCGGTCGATAGTGTTTTTATTTAAAAATTGTGGTTTATGGTTGTCCGCGTATTCCAAGACCATTGCTTGTTTCATGGCCAAAATGATGATGCATGACTTAGTCAGTCAAAACACACAACGTCATGTGGCGCATCATGTTTTGTGGCGCATTATTATCTAGATTCCAAATAATCGATGGGAACTAGTATCGTATATTCCCCATACAAATTAATTTTATCGATTCTACGAATACGACATCTGTTAAAAAAGATACCGATTTTTGTTACAACTGTTGCTTTGACACAGCTCGAGCGAACTATACGGCTATGGCTGTATTACAGACGAACTAATAAAAGAAGACATAGACTCCGATCCTGTGTATGCTTATGTATTGTAAATTTTGCACAAGCAGCTACGATTGACGACTGAGTGCAGAATTTGTAATACATACACAGAATCGGAATCAGTGTGTTCCTTTGTACGTTTACACGAGCTGTATTAAAACACCACTGGTAACAGAAATCGGCGAGTTTTTTAGTAGATGTCGTATTGGTGGAATCGATAAAGAAAAATCTACGATATTAGCGCTCATTGCAAATAATGGTGAGATATTTTCCTTTTGTTCGATTCATGCGTTGACACTGTTTATCAAATTAAAAACCTCTGACGAAGTGAAGAGCGGGTGACGAAACCAAAATGTGAAACACAAAATTTCTGATATCAATTTTGTGACGAAAATAAATCATAGATAATTTTACTGTGTACTGTGAATAAAAACTTAATACATTTGAACATTCAAAATGTTAGTTTGTTTACTTTCAGTATGGACTGATGACGCAATGCAACGTTCCGAATATACAAATGTATTCACTTCGTCAGAGGTTTTTTATTTGATATGCACTTAAGGAATAAAATCGATTTAAATGCCATTAAAAAAATGTTATTTTGATCCAGAACTGTGTACCGTTTGTGTAAATGTAAATCATATTTATGTATGCCCAACGTTTGTGTACAACAGCTCATCTCTCTACTACAAAATCTCAATTTTTGTCAGCAAATTTGGTTTCTTTTATATATGGTCAAGCTATTTACAATAGTTTCTTACATCCTATTAGTTTTCAGTCATCTCTCACTCACTCATTCATTTGGCCAGACACACACTCTTTTTATCTCAAATATATTTCTGTTTCCATCATCATCGTCATCGTCATTTGAAAATCTCATAGTACATATTAGAATTAATGTGAATGATGATAATGGAACAGAATGGAAAAAATCGAAGGAATTAGATTTGTAGAGTAATAGAATATTAATTTTTAAGTGATTATACCTTGTCGAGTACTTTCAACAGACAATGATGTACTGTTTATTGAGTCTGACTTGGCCATTGCTGCTATTTCCTCATTTAAATTTTGGGGTCGTTTCACATTCACTTCTATATATAAAAATGTTGTCATTAATTTTCAGACCCAATGAAAAAAATTGTTGTATTCAAAAATACTCACTCCAATATTCATCAGTCTTTTCCTTGATATATATGTATTTTGCTTCCAATTCTGCCAGCTCGTTTACTAGACTGTCATCAGAGTCTGTTGAACTAGAATCATCTTCGTTATATTTCTCTAAAATTGGATCAGATTTTAATTCTAGCAAACAATCATTCATTGTTGAACTTGATAAAATTGAGGCAACATCGTCATCTTCATCATCGCAATCATGCTCCATTTCATCATCCATGATCGGAGGTGGGGTTTCAATATTTTCCACTTTAATGTCTATATCATTAAACCGATGTTCTTCCATAAGCGGTAAAAGTTTAATTGGCGGTTCCCATTGTGGTAATAATATTTTAGTATGGTAATAATAAATTTGGCCTTTCTCATTAATCGCATATTTCCATAAATCAGGTAAATCAAGCGGTGGAATTATGTATTCATTGATGTCAGTTGGAAGAGGTATGGATGGAGGTTTTATGTGACTCTGAAAAATATGTATTTTATTTATTTTCAACTAACAAAAATGAACATATAAAGTGGTTATAGTGTGAATACTTACATGGCTTGGTGGTGTTGGAATTTTGATCATTTTGTCACCGTACCTTAATTGACCAGAAAAGACATTACATATAGACACTACCAGGGTGTGCAAATTAAAAACCTTTTACTCGCACTTGCGGTGTTAGCAAAGAGTCTACCATTCAAAACGAGTTAGGCACTCCATTTTACTGTATTTTTGGTGTTAATTTCATCCAAGTGAACACATCATAGTGAAAAAAGAAATACAAGTAAAGAAATACAAGTGTAGTCATAGCCGCATGCGTTCAACGTATATATGACTACACATTAGGGTGGGTCAATTTTTTTGCATCAAAGCATCATCGCGATGCTGGTTCTACGGGTCATAACAAAGCATTTTGCCCTAGGGGGTAGACACGTGGAATCAAAACTCACAGAAATCACAAAAATCATTAAAATCACAGAAATCGCAGAATTCAATTTTTGTGATTTCTTTGATTTCTGTCAAATGTTGTGTATTTTGTACCGCACACACACTATGTGTGCGACTTCTACTATAGGCACACACTAACACAGTGAAATTAGCTTTGTATATAAGTGTATTTTATGTCCAATATTGAGGTTTGGAATCGAGAAATCACCGAAATCGCAAGAATCAAAGATTTCATAGAAATCAAATAATTCACACTGGATTCATAGGTGTCTACCCCCTAGATTTTGCCCCATATGTCTAAAATGAATTTCGAGTCTGCCAATTTTTCTAGATAGATATTTTCCAGAATATATGAAAATCGACTTAGATATTGCAATGAAAAGGCAAAAAAAAACATTATTTTTTATCTAGCCAAATGTGAATTGGAGGTGGATTTTGGGGTCGAGGAATCCATTTTTGACATTTATTTTGCTATATAATAACGTTTTGATACGATTTCCATACAAAAACTGGCAAAAATGGTCGTTTACTTCTTTTTTTTCCAATTTTTTTTGTGGATGTCGATTTTATCATCGGATCAAAAAATTATGTTCTACAAAGTTGTTCAGAATGATGAGAGAAATTTTTTGGGTCAGCTGCCCTCCAACTCTCCCTACCCCCTAGGGGCGTTAGGGGTCATAACCCTTCAACCCCTGAGTCTTTTGACCTGAAACCCAAAAATTCGGCTTCAACATGCCAAAAAAGCATTTAGAAAGTGTTTTTTCCAGATGCCCCGAGAGATAATTTTACAAAATACCCCATAGTCTCATAGTATTTGACCCCAAATGGGGGGATCTTACTTTTCGTGAAACATGGCTCGGAAGGAGTGGGGGGAGTTGGAGGGCAGCTGACCCAAAAAATTTCTCTCATCATTCCGAACAAATTTGTAGAACATAATTTTTTGATCCGATGATAAAATCGACATCCACAAAAAAAATTTGGAAAAAAAAGAAGTAAACGACCATTTTTGCCAGTTTTTGTATGGAAATCGTATCAAAACGTTATTATATCGCAAAATAAATGTCAAAAATGGATTCCTCGACCTCAAAATCCACCCCCCAATTCACATTTGGCTAGAGAAAAAATAATGTTTTTTTTTGCCTTTTCAATGCAATATCTAAGTCAATTTTCAAATATTTTGGAAAATATCTATCTAGAAAAATTGGCAGACTCGAAATTCATTTTAGACATATAGTTAGAACCAGAATCGCGATGATGCTTTGAAGGTTTTTTCGGCCCCCTACAAATTGACCCACCCTACTACACATGTATCTCTTCTTTCACTACGATGCGTTCACTTGGATGAAATTATTACAAAAAATAGAGTAAAATAGAGTGCGTAACTCATTTTGAGGGGTAGACTCTCTGCTAACACCGCAAGTGCGAGTAAGCGTACTCGGATATTTATTTCTGTGTATGGTGTGAAAAACTAAGAATTTCTATTTGAGTGGAATTTTGAATTTTTTTCCAGGTAGAGATCAATTTTTCCCAGAAGTGGAATTTTTTTTAGATTATTCTTCTAAGTCAATCGCGAATAAAATCTAAAATAGGTACTAATATCTATCCCGTTGAGATTGAAATGTGTTGTATGATCTCCCTCTACAAGATAGACTGATTAAAATGCAGAGGTGGGGTCATGAACAGTGATTTTTTTAAAAAATAATGAGGCTTACGTACGCAAGCTGACTTTTCCGCATGGAACCGAAATTTTTGAAATAAAATGAAATTATGGTCTATGTATGGTTGCAGTAACTTAAATTACCGTGAAAACTTGTGAATATTATTTTCTTATCAAAGTAAATAATCACACCAAGTTTAAAGAAATTTCAATCAGAAAATAGACTGTTCAAAGTTTCACATCATTACGATACCACAAAGGCAAGTCTTTCATACAAAAATGAAATTTTTTGTGGATTTTTGTATGAAAAGTCTGTGAAAAATTTATTGCATCTTAAAACTAACATAAGATACGGGTTTCTCGTGCCAAAAAACCCCCCACTTCACATTCTTTCAGCGTTCAAATTGAAAGAATATCATTTTAAGACATTTTTCTTCTAAGTGCCTCTTCAGAGTCTAAGTTTTACATCGATCAATCAATTTCGTTGAAAATTTGACCAGATCTATTCCTCGTTATGCCCAATCATCCCGTAAAGTCAGATTTTGAATTTCATGTCTGAGCACGAAACCATCGTGTCACCAAAATGGTTGAAAAATGATCAAAAAAGTAAAATGTATGGATTGTGGGTACTCCATTCGGACCAAAAAAAATTACACAGGTCAACAGATATTGCTCAAAAACTAATCAGCACGTCTCCTAGTAGTCCCAAATCATCCTGCAAAGTCAGAATTTGAATTGAGTTTTTGGAAGAAGATTTATCGAGCTAACAGATTTTGGCAACACGCCACAGGACACAGGACACATCACACACAGCGACGCACATTAATATGCCCCAAAATCATCTCCAATCGTGTTTTCTACATGAAATATGTTTTGGAGTGACTTTAATTTTTTGGCTTATACAATACCTTTCCTACACTAGGTGTGCGGAAAAGTAAAAATTGGCTTCTATCGTGTTTCACGAGTGTCTACAAGATAAACTCCAGAACATTTCATTTTTATTTGTGATCAAATTTTGAGCTGATGTGTCAAATCGATTTTTTGGCTTCGCGTCCAAATAATCCTTCCAAGATCACGCAAAATCAAAATGAAATGTTGTGAAGTTACTTCACTTTGTAGAGGCGGGCTTAAGGAACACAATAGAAGCCAAAAAAATAGTTTCCAAGTCGTAACTTGAAAAAAAAAAACTTTGAATAAAAATTTAAAATTCTGCTTGGATAGAAATTCTTAGTTTTTCACACCTATCACTTCCAAAAAGGATTTTCAAAACTTGCACGCCCTGGTAGGAAGACATTTGATACACCCCGTATAGAAGTTTTGAAATATAGGAGCAAAATAAGATCACCATACCACTGACCGCTTGTCGGGTTTACAGACACTGGTACCATGATATCTCTCGTTGTCCGGGGATCCAGTTGAAAAAATGCACATCTAGCTTCGTGAATTATGTGCTCCATTGTTCTTTTCCGTTCAGCATCTTCTTGGGCAACCTTTACCATATAGAGACATATTAAATCAGCTTATATTTTGAAGGAGTTAATTAAAATATGTACTTTTGCTTCAAACATTTGTCGTCGTTGATGTTTCGAGAGAGTGTTATATGATCGACGAAATCGAGGATCTTTTTCGCGTAAGTCAGTTGTTTCTGTTGTTTTGGCAATTCGTTCGCTGAAACGCCCACTACTACTACTGAAGGTCGAATTAGGTTTTTGTGTTGTATTCTCTTCTACATTTTCTTTGTAGCTTTCATCAGCCTCGCGTTCGTGTTCTTTCATTTGTTCAATACGTAATTTTTTTGGAATTTTAAATGATTCAGGCAATTGTTCCCAGGTACCAACCAATTTTGACGCCAACAAACAAATGTCTCGTACAAGCTTGCCCAATTCACCATCCGGTAACTTTTCCGAATCTTCAACAATTTTTGAATTTTTTTCCGTTGTACTAATAATGCTTTTTAATAAATCTACACCCATGCATTTGATTGTTGAGTTTTGTTCAAGAATGTGAGGTATAGCTACTGTTAATGATTCAAATTTAACTGATGTGTTTGCAGGTGGTTCATCTTTTGGACTTGAAGTATCTTCATTTAATGTTGGAGTTCCAGAACCACTATCTGAAGGTGAATATTCTTCATTTGTTGCAATATTGTCTTCGGCTTGTGGCTTATTTTTCAAAAAAACATATTCATTAAAGGTTGACCATCGTTGAACCGTTAACAGTACTTTACTATCTTGAAGCATTGTTTTGTTAGTGATGGGCAATTTTTCTAGTGTTTGAAGTATTTCAAAACGGAATTTAAGGCTCAGTAGCCGATCAGAACTATTCACGTCTGACATCCATGAGTGCATCAACTTTAAACCATGATAATCCAGAAAAAGTCGACGGCATGGCAATTCCCCTTCACGTAATAGTAACAATAATTGTAATTTGGCCTTTTGTAGCTTTGCGCGAACTTTTGTTTAAAAAAAAAAATAAACTTACTAAAATGTCAACTGAAATATTGTTAAATCTACTGAATATTTCGATAGGAGAGTTTGTTATTCAGCACTTATAGCTGAGTAATGACCGAATAAAAACATATTCTCCTATCGTTGTATTCAATACAAATGATATACCCATTAATCTGCTGAACTGAAGCGTTTGTACTTGATTTTTTAAACCACTCTTGGTTAAAACATCGATTTCTTTATCCAGGTCGGGATCAACCATAATTTCTCCACGTTTTATATGCATATTAAAATCGCTGGGAACCTTGCGATTTTTCCTAACACACTCTTTTTTAGCTGGTTTTTTGGCGGCATCTTTGGATTTTTTTGGTTTTATAATCTTCACTTTCTTTTTGGTTGTTTCATCTGGAACAATGGCCACTTTCAATTGACTTTCATCCTTATCTATTGTTTCAGCAGTGATATCCTCATCACTTTCTTCATCATCTTCCGATTCAACTTCATCTTCCGAATCTGGCTCACCACCTATCCAACCCCTACAGTTAATTGATTCGCAAAAGCATTTTTGTGCTTCTTTTCTAAAATTTAGAAATAATACACGTTTGATTTAGGAAAAATATATTTGGACTATAAATATTTCACAAAAAATACCCATAACGTTGGAACTGATAATCAAATGTGATTTCTTCGTCAGCCATAATTGGTTTCTTACTAAAAAATCCAATTCTAAGTTCTCCATTAACGGTCCATTTTTGTGTTTCAGCATTTGGATCGCAAGAGTGATTAATAAATCTTGAAATATTGCCCTTTTTAGTTGCATCAATCACACAATCACTGCTCAATGCCATAAAGTAATAATGTGCATTCATTTGTTTCGAATAATCATTGGCACGTTTTTCAAACTGCTTGCTGTTTAATACTTCACCAACATATTCCATAATGAATACGCCAGCTGGTATGTAAGATGTGGCAATTAAACCATATCCTTTCTTCTCGGTCTTGAAAATATTACATGGGGAATTTTCATGTTTTTGAAAACGACGATTTGTACATCGATCACCAACAATACATTTGGGACCACACTCAATCAATAACATTCTATTTAAGCAATCATCCCCGCATCCCATTTCACTACGCTCTATTTCTGTTTGGGTAAGAAAGCAATCGCAAGTCATCTTCTTGGCCTCTTTACTAATCGTTCGCTCAGAACGATATTCATTATCAGCAATATTAATGAATAACTTTAAGCCGCTTTCACGATCAATTCTCTCTTTTTCTAATTCTTGCTCAGTTTTTATTCGAATTTTCAGCTCTCCAGCAGAACAAGATTGTGCTACATATCTGTCCAAAATATTATCATTTGAAACGTCCAAACTTGCATTGCTTGAATCTTCATCAATAATAACTGGGGTACGTTTTCTATCTTTAACAACACCTTATCAAAAAAAACGTAAATAATGGAAATGAATAAGAGAAGAATGGATAGCAATCCTTAAGGGTTTGGACATTTTTGGGATTTAAAATATATTTGTGAGTTGTGTTAAACACTTCACTTTCGTACGAATATAGAAAAAATTGAAAAAGAAAATACCTTTAAAGGCCTTAACAACTCCCATGCCGTGTGAACGTTGTTTCGATTTATTTATAGTTCTAATTCGACCTGAGCGTCGAATTGATGTGTCTCCAATTTCTCTTATTGCTTCTTGTGGTAAATCGACTATTTGCTCATCATCCTTCTGAAGTGAATTTTCATCCATTTTGACTTTCGATTCTTTTGTCTTCATTTCGAATATTATTTCATCGGTTTTGGTATCTAATGAAAATAATTCTTTTATATTTTTGAATGGTTCTTGTAAAATATCTTCTGTTGGTTTTGCATCGATAGCAATTTGTTCAATTTTTATTGATATGGATTCAACCTCGAAAATCTCTGTATCTATTGGTTTTGCTGCGACTGAGTCTTCAGAAGCTGTTTTATTTACTACTGTTGCAGTTTCAACTAATTGATGATTTGTTGAATCATTTGGCGAGTATGTAATATGTTTGAGTTGTTCTATTTTTTGGTGATCCAAATCTATTTTAATGGACGTAATTTTTATTATCTCGATTACTTTTGATGCTTTTTTTGAAATCAATATAAAATAAATACCGTTGAATAAAAATTTAATCTTAATATAAAAATATACACGAACCTGTATCAAATGGGGTTTCATTGCATACACGTTTACTCTCAATCGTTACAGTTGATTCGATACAATCGATATCTATTTTATCTGTGATAGATTTTGGGCTGTTACTATTTGCGGATTTCATATTAATAGTATCGATAACTTTTATATTGTCTGCAGTGAATTGTTCTCTTTCAATTTCTTTTTCAGCTTGGATGCTTTGAATCAAATTTGTTATTTCATTTAAATCTTGCATTTCAATAATATTATGTTTTTTGTTCATATCAGGAGAGTGATTCCATGATGTTGATGCGTTGAATTCTCTTTTACCAACGACTGACATTTCGTTCGCAAACATATTATCAATTTGAATTGTTTTCTTTCGAGGTCGACCTCGTTTTTTTGGTTTGTAATCGGATTCACATTTCATGACATCGATCAATTCATTTTCGGCTCGTGCTTCACCATCCTTCAGTAAGTATTCATTTACATCCGTTGTTGAATTTGGTAATGTACTTTTTTTTCGCTCATAAGTTCGGACGGTATTTGCTCTCACCAAACTAAAATGACTTTCTTCGTCAATTACATTAGTCATAGTGCTGCTGTCCAGAGCTGCAACTGGTATAATTGATTTGGCCTTTTGATTTGTTAATGTAATGTTACTCAAGCCTTGCTCAATATTCAAATGGCCAATATCTATGATTTGTTGTGACTCATTACTGGAATTATCTTTATGTTCCTGTATTTCTGACTCATTTTTCACTTTTCGTTTAGCATAAGTTCGACGGCATGAATAATTTTTACGTGCGATATTATCTCTTCTTGATCGTACAGAACAACTTTCAACCCCGCTCGAATCATCGCCATCGGTAGTTTCATAAAATTTTGAAGTGCTATATTTTAGTTTAAAGCTATTTTCACTGTCTTTATATTTATCTGCTTGAATTGATTGTTGCGAATCACTTTCTAAAAAAGTCTCGTTTGAATATGTACCAGCACATTGTATATTTTCTGAACCAAGTTGTTTAAATACAATGGCTTCGGCATTTTCGGGTACAATAATAACATCATCTGCCGATTCATTTAAATGTTCTTCATCATCATCTTCATCTGTTTGCTTCAATAATTCTGAATCAAGGCCATTCATAACATCTGTCCTTTCTATTGAACGTGGCATTTCTGAGTCTTGTGCATCAGAATCGGAATCGAAACAGCTTAACGAATCAGACAGATAAATAGGCTCAGTTTGATTATCACTCCCATCATTTGTTGATTTAGTCCGTTTTTGTTCGATTTCTTTATTGTCATTCTTGAAAACACTAGATTCACACTTATCATGATTTTCTGTGTAATATTCACCATTCCAATTTTGATTTTTACTATTACTTATTGGTGAGATACATATACTCTCTTCATATTCGTTTTCACTATTAATAAAAGTCTCTTCTATGACAACCTCTTCCGCCACATAATCAAATGGGTCTGGGACATCCAAAGCATCTTTTTCTTCCACAATCATTATATCGTCTTCGTCATCGAAAATTGCTGAAAATAAAGAAAATTGGAATACCGGAAAACCGATTTTTTGCAGCTCTCCATTAAATCTTCTTCTAAATTTGAAATGCAGCTTAGAAAATTAATTATATTAGGTTTATTCAGAAAAGGTTTACCATCAGATAGTTTGCTTTCTCTTGTGGAGTTTTTGACAGTTTCATCTTCGTCCGCCAAAAATGTATCATTACAAATAGTCGTTTTTTCTGAGCATGTGGAAGGCTGTATTTGGTGACTACAAGTGACTTCATCGGTATTAGTTAATTTATTATGTGTTGCCTTTGCTTCAATTTTCTGAACTCTTAAAACATCTGGATGAAATTCATTACAATCTATCGGATTGTTAACAACAGTCATGCCCTGCCGATTAATTGATGAAGCATTCATTGGTAAACGATGTATCATAGGCACTAATCGCATTTTATTCGGCGACAAACTACTCAGCAATAATGTTGATTCTTCACTTACATCGTTACTGTTCATACTGTTTGTATCAATCACGTTGGCACTTTTAATGAATTTGTGCTTAACTTGTCTACGTGGTCGCTGGGAAATTGTCGATAAATTGGCCTGTATTTCATTTCCATCCCGAATATGCTTATTCAAAACTAATCGGCGATTATTTTTCACAACCGATGATGCGCGTGTGTTTTTGTTTGCTCTCTGACTGTTACCTAGAGTTGATCGGAAGAAAAAAATGGAAAAAATGCAAATTAATCAATAAGTAATGGAACAGAATAAAAAATGAATCGAAGGAATGGATCAGGAATTGTAGAGTAATGGAATAGTAATTTTTAAGTAAGCCTTCACTGTTACTTTCACTGTTATATAAACTAGAGTCTTCCGATTGTCCTCCATCGATTTTATTCAAAGCATCCTGAAACAAAATGAATAAATTAAAGTATACTGATCAATCAACTCGAATTTTATGGACACCACAAGTATGAAAAATAAATTTAATCCAAGTGGTTGCTATATCTTACCATATTAATAATATCTAAATCACTATTGGTGATCAAATTTTTATCTGTAGTTTGATTTATAATTCTGTTATCAAGCCTCAAGCTTTGTCGGGTGTACGTACGAGCTGATGATGACGATGTGACTGCTATAATTCCATCCACTTTGCGGCCCATTTTCCAAATCTAAGAATATCTATGTTAAATAATTAAATTGTATTAATTGTTCGAAATATCTGGTGGAACACTGTTTTATATTGTATTGACATTTACATGAAACTTCAAACGCTTGTCATTGTCTTTCGATTATAAACATAACCTTTCACGATCTTATGTTTATTGTGTAAAACGATTGCACCGTTGTTGGAAAAAGTATTTTAGTTTCTGTTGGTATTTCGATTAGATTGATTATTCAATGATGATTTTAAATAAAATCCATTTTTCCAAAGCTTCTGTGCTATTTATAAGATTTCTGAAATTAGAAATGTTTCATAGCTAGTGAAAACAAAGTGGATAATTGATTAGCGGATGCGAAATCCATAAAAGTTTGAATCGGTTTGCACGATATTAACACATATTCAATGTCATAACATAGTGATTTTTTTTTGTAAAAGTAACATGACAAACACTTTGTTGCAGAGTTTTCAAAATCCATCAGAATCGTGAATAACCGAAACACACATTGTAAAATGAAATTATATTTATGCAAGAGTGAAATGAACGCATTGTAAGTTTGTTTATTGTTAACCTGTGAATATGAGAATCATATTTATGGCATTTCCATCAGAAGTTTGCAGACTGGTTGATCAATGGCAATGAATCATTCGTATCTGTGGGTGAAAATGTCATCGTGTTAAGATACGTTACTTGTCGTGGATGCGAACTATAGCCAGAAGGAAATAAACCATATGGTCCTATCGACTCACGAAAGAGTAATCATCTTTTGACGAAACAACAAAAACATTAGCCTCGTCCTAGACCACGTAAGGCATCAACATTTCGATGTCACGAAGAAAAACGGACAATTGGTCGTACTATCACATGGAATCGTGATACAAACTCCGGTTGCAATATACTCTACAAAGGTTTCTCAATATGAACAATAAGAAATGCATTTGTTATTTGTTAAAATATTCAAACATGAAAAACTACTGTAGCACTCATTCAGATAAAAAAATATCAAATTGTAATGGAAATTCCATTATGGAATATTTAAAATGCACACTAACTATGTTTATCTTGAAGTTCACATTATTAAAATCATTATTTTCAGAATCAACAACCAATACAAGGAACACCCATATAGCTTATTTGCGAAATAATTTTTTCGATGGCGGGACTGTGCGAAGTTCAGCGGTTACTTACTCCGTTATAATTCCAAATGTTTTCTTCTACATTAATTCTTGTTCATAAGATGATATTTTTTGTAACATTGAATCTGCAATGAAAAACAAATCCATTAGTTTAGAGAAAATTTGTATATTCAGATAGTATTTTCTCCAAAGAAAACAGAATAAAAAGGATTCAGCAATCTGAGTTAGCAAAATAGCTTTAAAATTCTTATATACCAGATGACCTTCTCCAATTATAATATTATTTGATTTTTATGTCGCCCAAATATAATTAAACGAAATTCATATCTTTTATCGAAAAAGATGTAAAATTAGATCGCGAATGCCGATTACTTCATTTTTGGTTGTATTAGAAAATATTGAGTTTTTATTGATCGTACTAATTTACACATGTTTATTTATTTTATTTATTGAATAATAGATGAATTTTATATGGAGCTCGTAAATCATAATAAACTTGTACACTTCGGATTCAATTTGCATTTTTTTCCTTCGTATATTCAGACACTCACACGAGAGCAACAGTAACTTTATTGGCCAAAATCAATTATTATTCATACACAAACAAATGAAGTCGTTTCTTTGGAAATAAATGACTGTCAAACTGAAGAAACATACTTCGGGTGCGTTCATTTATTCGTCGTTATTTGGTTATCGTACATGCGTATGTATTCGTAAATGTTCACGGACAAATCGCTTTTTGACATATAAAGTACAATCAGCGCCGCCAAACAATCAGCACACATACTAATGGACAGAAAAAACAAACTAAATTGCTGCTAGTGTGTTCAATTTCATGGTTTCCCTCTTTTCCGGTCAGGCAATACGACCAGTAAGTTGTAAATTTCTTCTCATTCTTTTAATTCTAAATCATCGTCCGTTTTTATAATCCAAATTTATTACAAATTGATGCAAATTTGTTTAAATTCATTCTTCAACCATACGATGCGAATATTTTTTTCAAAAGTGCTTGATAGGTTTCCTAATAATTTGTAAAAATTTGCTATACTTGTTCAACATTTTTTAACAAATCGTGTTGTATATTGTTTAAATTTATACGACTGTGTAAACATAACCTTATCCTCACTCATTCAGATTGTTGTATTTTTCGTAAAAACATAAGTTTTTTTAAATTTATATATTTATTCAAGTAAAAAAAAAAATATTGAAGTAGCTGTACAAATCGAAAAAATATGAAATTCATAATGATTGGTGTTTGAATTTAAATTTACATCATATAAACATACTACTCTATAGAGTAGAACACTGTATAAGCAAGATACTTAAAAAAATTAGTAAAAATATATTTCATTCTATTTGTAATTTTCAGTAGCAGAAATATGCGTAAAATAATGAAATCTGGTAAAGTCGTAATCGTCCTCTGTGGACGTTACGCCGGCCGCAAGGCTGTTGTCGTGAAAACTTTTGATGATGGAACATCCGATAAACAATTTGGACACGCACTAGTTGCTGGTATCGATCGCTATCCACGTAAAGTGACGAAGAAAATGGGAAAGGCAAAATTGAAGAAGAAGTCGAAAATCAAGCCATTCTTGAAGGTAAGATAATTTATATTTATGAATTCAAATGGTCGGATGAATTTGTTTATAATATAGACTGGACCATACAGTTAGTTAATACTAAAGTACTTCTAATATATATTTAGTTTGCATAATAAAAAATGGTATCATTTTATTTAATTTCAGTTGTTGAACTATAACCACGTTATGCCAACAAGATACAGTGTATCGGATATTCCATTTGACAAGGTGACAGTGAAGGATCTGAAAGACCCAGTCAAGCGCAAGACACATCGCTTCCAAACCCGTGTTAAATTCGAAGAAAAATACAAGGCTGGCAAAAACAAATGGTTCTTCACCAAATTGCGGTTCTAATCGAAATGAATGAAATACTTTTTTACCAGTGTAAAAAATCAACCGCATCAATAAAATGATAAACTGTGAAACTATCATATTTCTTATTTATTTCCAAAAGATATATATATATATATATATATATATATATATATATCGGTTAGATAATACGGAATTCCACGCTAAATATAGCCAGACTTCATGATAAGAACTATTAACATTGTTCCTTAAATTAAACTAAATTTAATTTTTCATTAATTTGTTTGATTCATTGATTGTTGATTTGTTGAATGAGCGATGTGCAGTGTGTGAACGATGCTATTCTCAGTTTTCGCCATCGTCGCTACCGCTACCGCTATCATTACTATCATCACTGTTGTCTGACAATTCACTGTTGCTCAAATCGATTGCATCTTCTTCGCTGCTTGATGACCACCATGGCTGATCCGAATCGTATTCAGCTTCATTGGAATTTTTTGATGTTTGATACTGAAATGTAAACAAAATAATCAAATTCACATTACACATCACATGAATTCGCTTTTTTTTACGCTAATTTTCATCAAATTGTTTGAAGCGTCGCTCTACTGTGAATGCATCTGGCAATTTTATTCCCAACAGTCATGATGACCTAAGTACATGTATGATGAAAATGGGTTTGTATTGAATTTAATGTCATTCAAAGTCATATAAAAAAACAAGTGATTCACTGTAAACATACCGCGAAGTTGAATATTTCGACCACAGCATTTTCAGCAGCCGGCACAAGCATTCCATCGACCATATTGAAGGGTTTCAGTTCGACTTTTGGCTGGCCACCATCGTCGTCCGAATTCCGTGGGCGATATTTTTTCTGCTTCTTCAATTGTTTCGAATTCTTGTGGCTGTAAATGAATGAACCGCCATCGGGCAGTGCTTCTGGCGATGGTTTACATTGGCGACACACTTTGAACCGAGTTATCGTTGTCTTTCGGCCATTCTTCGAACCATTTTCCAGTACATTGAAGCAACGGCTACATAATTTTGTTGTTCGATATTCATCCACGTAGCGCACGGTCTAATCGTTATGATATTTTTTTAAGATAATTTTTGGTTTCAATGCTGCTACTTGTCAGTTGACATTGTTTTCATTCGGTGGTCTTCTTAACCCTAAAACCGTCCTTCTGCAATACACCTTAATCCCGTCTTTGGGGGCACTCAGTGCCCGTAGTGTAATTTGTATGAAAAAATTGAATTTTTTTTTGGAATTTTTTCGATATTTTGAGAAATCTTGTGTCTAATCGTAAACTAAAGACATGAATGTGCGCATCGGGTCGGCAGCTACGTTTTGTATACTGTGCTGACAAAATAAATTAATATTGGCTGAACAAATTTTTACTAAATTGTATCACTTCGTCTTGGGGGCACTCAGTGCCCGTTAGTGTATTTTGTATGAAAAAATAAAAATTTTTCAATTTTTTATTTTGAATTTTCTCGATATTTTGAGAAATATTGTGTCATTTCGTAAACTAAAGACTTGAATGCACGCAGCAGATCAGCAGCTACGTTTTGTATTCTGTGCTGACAAAATAAAATAAATATTGGCTGAACAAATGTTTGCGGTACCGATGAATTCGACCAGTTTCATTTTCAAAATGGCATTTTACACAGTGCCTTTAAGTTTTCTCTGTTAAATTTATCTGAGTATGGGAATTCACCTATAAATGAATAACAAAATGAATTGAACACGAGACATTGTTGTGTATATGTAAAAGTAAATCGAAGCAATTCAATGCAAAACACAATTTCGGCAGAATTTGTTTATAATAAATTATTATTCTTATTTGAATGTCACACGGAACACCGAACAACGTAACAAGTGTATATATGCTTGTGTATGAGAACAATCGATTCATTCGTGCACAAACATTTTTTACAATTTAGCAATTTTCCCATACAAAATATATGAAAATATACGTCGGGCACTGAGTGCCCCAAAGACGAAATGACCATCTTTTTTTTGCCGGCCATTTTTTCGAAAACCATGGCGTGAATAGATGCATATTTTATATTTCAACACGACAAAAATCGGGGTTTAGCGATGTTTGATGAAAAAAATGGTTTAATTTTAGTTTGAAATTTTGCTCGGGCCAGTGCCCGATGGACGGTTTTAATAATAATAATAACTGCACCGAACAGCGTTCCTTCGCCTTCGTGGTTTATTGAAAATAATTTCATTAAATAAATATAATATAATACAATTTGATTTTTATCAAGCATTTTTGAGAGAAAAAATGAAAAATTATAGCTCCTCTCATGTAAATAATATAAATTTCTTTTATTATTTTTTAACTGCTTAAAATATCTATAATCCATAACAAATTTTTGTATTTATCTGTTTTGCTTTAAATAATTTTCTATTCTCAGTTTGATCGTTGATAAATTAACTTCTAAATCAATTATATTTTCATCACTGTTTGGCATTTTTTTGGTATAAAAATCGTTGAATGATAATAATAATAATAACTGCACCGAACAGCGCTCCTTCGCCTTGGTGGTTTATTGAAAATAATTTAATTAAATATATATAATATAATACAATTTGATTTTTATGAAGCATTTTTGAGAGAGAAAGTGTAAAATTATTGCTCCTCTCATGCAAATAATATAAATTTCATAAATTAATTTTTCAACTGCTTAAAATTTCTATAATCCATAACATATTTTTGTTTTTATCTGCTTTGCTTTAAATAATTCTCTATTCTCAGTTTTACTGTTGATAAATTTACTTCTAAATCAATTAAATTTTTATCACTGTTTTGCAATTTTTTGGTATAAAATTCGTTGAATGTTGTAAGCATATAATTTATTGGCTCATATTTTGTGTAATCAGTTTTCCTAATTGGTAGATCAAATAGTGGTGTTGCTCTGGTATCATGTGCTGGATCGTAATATTTCATACTGTTTGAAACATAAGTTGACTTCAAATCTCCGTGAATAATTTTGAAAATAAAAGACACTTGCGCCATCTTGCGTCTCTCCTCAAGAGTAATCATTTGCAGAAATTGTAGCCTGTGTTCGTATTTTGGCAGTCCAAAATCGTTCCAGGCCATTCTCCTCAGAGCATATATTAAAAATTGTTTTTGTATTGACTCTATTCTTTTGCACATATTGTCGAAGTGTGGATTCCATATTTCAGATCCATATTCAATAATCGGTAATATAAATGCAAAGTAAAGGCGTTTTAAAGTCCATGGGTCGACAAAATCCCTGCTGTTGAATTTTAACCAAGCCAATCTTGATTTTGCCTTTGCAACAACATGCTCGATGTGTGATTTGAAATTCATCCTTACATCAAGCAATACTCCCAAGACCTTCATTACTTCAACTCTTTCAATTTGCACGCCATCTACGTTGAAATTATATTCATATTTCAGTAATCCTCGATGATATGATATCAGTTTTTTTTTTTGTTAACATTTAACTTTAATAAATTGCGTCCATAGTAATCTGCTACACGATCCAAATCCCTTTGAAGATGAATACAGTCATCTTCTGATTTTATACATTTTGAAATTTTGGTATCATCAGCGAACGAAAAGATGCATGAATCGGTCACGACGAAAGGTAGATCAATTACAAACATGATGAACAAAGTTGCGCCAATGGGATAACCCTGACCAGTACCAGAAGTCACTTCGATTGGATCAGATTTGGTATCTGATATCTTGACTATTTGTCTGCGACCAGACAAATACGATTCGATCCATTTTAGCAGCTGTGTATTCAATCCCATGATATTTAGTTTCTGAATTAGTAATTTTATATTCACAGCGATCTCCAAATATATGGTGTCTGTTTGATGTCCCTTTCCCATGTTAATTATCGTATTCGATGTAAATTCTGCCAAGTTCGTTATCGTTGACCTATTTTTGATGAACCTATGTTGAGTTTCGTGTACGTTCTTTAGATATTGATTGAGATGGTTCTTGACGATCGAATCAAGAATTTTTGACACTATACACTGAAGAGCGACACCACAATAATTTTGAATCTTGTTTCTTCATCTGGACCACTGACTAGATCATCAGGGAGCATGTCAATTTTTTGTCCAACAAGCTCCTCAGTTATTTCAATCGGTGATATTTCTGCACAAATGTTGCGAATATTTTCAATCTCCGAGCTATCCAATTGTATATCTTCCTTCAAAGAGCTGTAGGCTGAGGCAAAGTGCTTTGTAAAGAAACCAGCGATCGTAGACTGGTCATCTGCCCTCATATCCAGATAAGACATTTCATGAGGCAGATCATCACTTTTCCCTTTTTTGTAATTCACATGTCTGAAAAATTTCTTTGGATCATTGTCTATCAGATTCTCCATCTCAATTCTGTAATCATTGAGTGCTGACCGTGCACTGCGTTTATATTCTCTTCTTAATTGTTTAAAATTTTCTACTGATTCAATTGTGTTGACCTTATTTTTAATCTGAAGAGCTTTGCTGACTTTGTTTTTCATCTCGATTAGTGGCTTGTTAAACCATAACGGTTGCTTCCTGATGATTTTTGTATTCAACTGGACATGCTTTTCGATTGTTGACTTTACAATTGTATAGAAATTTTCAAGACTTAATTCTAATGAATTTGAATCGAATTTTTTAATCCAGTCAACATCAAGGAGTGACTCATTTATTACTTTATAGTCAGCATTTATGTAGTCTCTATATATTTGCTTTGTTTCAACAGTTCTGACGACTGGCTCATTATATCGTATATTGACTGCATTGTGGTGCATTGATCCAGCTCAACATCATTTGTCCAGTATAACTGATAATTGAAAATTATCAGATGAAAAATAGAACTAATTCAATAAAAAATTAACTATATTATATTGTATTTATATAAATGATTTTTGGCGCTGCAGTCATTATTATTATAAAATTGAAACATACCATTTTTTTTATTTACAGATATGAAAAACACCCTAGTGTACATTGAGTGTCAAGATTTCATTTCGCGATATGATTCAATCAATTTGTAATTGTCTTTTTTACATTTATTTTGTATTGCTACGCACACAAAACAATTTATGTATACAAATTAAAATGTGTATCAGTAAGATAATACGGAATTCCACGCTAAATATAGCCAGACTTCATGATAAGAACTATTAACATTGTTCCTTAAATTAAACTAAATTTAATTTTTCATTAATTTGTTTGATTCATTGATTGTTGATTTGTTGAATGAGCGATGTGCAGTGTGTGAACGATGCTATTCTCAGTTTTCGCCATCGTCGCTACCGCTACCGCCAAGACTGATCCGAATCATATTCAGATCCATTGGAATTTTTTGATGTTTGATACTGAAATGTAAACATAAAAATCAAATTCACATTACACATTACATATATTCAAAAATTGTATTCAACAAATAATGCAGCTCACCTTTTGTTGCTTTTTACGCTTATTTTCATCAAATTGTTTGAAGCGTCGCTCTGCATGCTGATCTTGTATCTTGGCATCGACTGTGAATGCATCTGGCAATTTTATTCCAAATAGTTCAGAATGACCTAAATACATGTACGATGAAAATTGGATATTAGATTCAAAATCATATAAAAAAAAAATGATTCACTCTAAACATACCGCGAAGACGAAACTAGAGGATGCGCCATCTATTGGTGATTCTTTTGATTTTCATTCGATTATATCGTTGTTGAAATGGTTATTGGCAAAAAAAAAGTCATAAACACAAAAACAAAAACTGAATACACCAGATTTGAATTCAAATATTTTAAAACAAAAGTATTTCAATGAAGATGATATTAGCATATATAAATACTAGGGTGGGTCAAATTATTAACCTCAAAGGCTTTTTCCCATAATTTTTTATCTTTTGCACAAAAATCACCAATTTTATTCGCGAATTTCATAATTTTGTGAAATTGATTGACATTTTCGCGTCATCGACTCTGTTTCACGTCACCGTTATTGTAAGCAAAATATATTTTCATACGTTTTAAAATCAAAGTCATTTTTGATTACAGTCAACCAGTTTGACACTTATCTGCTAAATGACATACAAGAACACAATAGCCGTGACTTCTTTTTTTTACTTTCTGGTTGTGTTTCCAAAATTTCAATTCAATGATTAATATTCAAAGATCAGCGGTAAATCGACTCAAGTATCAACTAAATTATAACATCAATGTTAAGACATAGATTATAAATAAAAAAAAAATAAAACTTATAAATGACTCAACAACATTGCCAGAACCGACTTGATTAGTTTTGATTCGGGTTTTGTTTTTGAACTTTGAGTTGCTTGGCTTTTGCGTTTGCTTTTGCTTGCGCTTAAATCGACCATCGGAAGTGCCTTCGCCTGGATCTGAATCCATGGTGATTTTATCTTGAATCTGTAAGAATTATATTGGAATTAGTGATCCGAAAAGTAGATTTTTTTTTGGATTGAAGTTAATTCAATTATGTTTATTCACTCTGTAATTTTCACACTAAAATAATGGTTAACACTCACCTTTGAAATATTCAATATTTTTGAGCGCAAATAGAGTGTAATAACGTCTTATACTCTGTCCAATAGATCTGTGAATTTAGCAATCCAAGGATAATGCAACTTAGAATAATGACAACAATAGCGTGTTAATTGATCATTTTCAAATAATATTCAATTTAATTGAATATACATACCTTTTCAATTTATTCTTCCTTATCGTAAATCGTACGAACAATTTCCAGTTTTAAAGTTTAAAAATTCAATGCAAAGAAAAATTGATGTGAAAATTAATGTAAACACGAATCATTTACATTGAGAAGACTGTGTTGACAATCGAACGATGACATTCATGTGTATCAATTGCGGGCGTTGAACGCATCCATTTCACTATGTTCAATTACGGAACATCTATAATATGAAAAAAATCTCGGATACGACATTTTACCATGATTTTTGTTATCGGTTTTACTATTGTTTTGTTACAATAGTGCTTTACAACTCTAGGTATTATTTATTATGAATTATCGGTTAGATAATACGAAAGTCCACGCTAAATATATAGCCAGACTTCATGATAAGAACTATTAACATTGTTCTTTAAATTAAACTAAATTTAATTTTTTCATTTATTTGTTTAATTGATTGATTGTTGATTTGTTGAATGTGCGATGTGCAGTGTGTAAACGATCCTATTCTCAGTTTTCGCCATCGTCGCTAGCGCTACCGCTACCGCTATCATTACTATCATCACTGTTGTCTGACAAT